TTTTTTAATAAAGGAGATTTTATCTAGTTGGTAAAGTAGTCAATGTAGAAAGTTGGGTTAGGCATGTGAGTTTGCATATGCATTTTTAGGTGGTCCTGAATCCGTATTGCATTTTTGTCTCATTGCTTGTTCTTATGTGCATTGCAATTGATCCGAGCATTTCACTATTACAATGTTTCATGGTGGTAGATTTAGTGACAATTTCTATGTAGGAGGTGATATGGCATATTTTGATTATATTGACAAGGACATGAGGTCTATGGTTGAGATAGGTTGGATGGTTAAACATTTGGGTTATATGGATCAGATCATTTTGTACCATTATAATCTACCTGCATTTTAATACATTTTACAAAACCACATGGAATTCAAAATTGGCTCACTAATACACAATGCACACGAAACTACCTAAAACTCTAGTTTTAGCCTCATATTGTGATTAGTTTCATATTTTCTGCATCCTTGTCCACTTAGAACCAACAGAAGCACAAAGATAGTGGACCATGACTAGCAACAAAACCCACAGGAAACTAACTCTTCTAGAAGCTTTTCTCTGCCCCTCTTCATGCTTTGAAAAGCTTTCAAAAGCTCAAGTATCACATTCCTTGACCTTTCGCACATCTTGGGATCAATCTAGTGAAAGAAGGTGCAACTTCTTGGTTTATGTAAAGAGACACGAGCAAGCCCTAATTAGAATCACACCTATGAAAATCACACCCATTCAATCTAACCACAACAAACTTACCCCATAGTTCATGCAGTCCCAGAAACGACGACTTGGGTTTGTGTCTGTCCAAGACGTGAAAACGCAAGCTCTCTTACCACAACTAGAGAAGGGTGCCCCCATTCGATTTAGATTTGAAATTGGATTTAGGGTTTCATGGGCTTCTATCGAATGCCGGGATGAAGATGTCAATTCGGGGTTCGTGGGTTCAGGCTTTGGGTTTATGGGTTTGAAATAATCCACACCTTCAAAAAAACCAACACGCAAGCAAAAAATGCCACGTCGGATATGTCACGTCATCACTTAACAACTCCAATGACGGACTGGGTAACAGTGTGACCAATTTATAGGTTTTCTAAGAATTCAGGTATGCTCATGAAAATTTTAGAAGGTTGGGTACTTGCTTGTAACGACCCCTAAAGGTTGGGTACTTTTATGTAGTTTACCCTTTTAATTAAATTGTTAGTGGGGTAGGTCCCACAACGGCCATGTTAGCAATTAATGGTTGACCACACAGTCAACTTAATGCAAGGATAAAATTGGACAAGTTTGAAAATATTGGGGTGTAACTTGATGAAATTGATACCTCGGGGCTCATATTAAGAATGACCCCAAACCTATAAGGGGTCTTTTGTTGTTAACTCTTTGTTTTTTCCTTTTTGAGTTGGGTAGCTGTTCACTGGTTTTAAGTTTGCTCCCGTGATGGTAAGGTAGAGTTTCCCATTGGCTCAAAAACCATTTGACTGGTCAACAAGTTAACTTTCTTTTGTGTGCAAGCGTGCCACTACTAGCAATAAAAATTCTAGCAGACTTCTTTAAAACAGATAACTTGCGCCTCAAGTTTCTGATTTCTAAACAAGTGATTGTGAATTTGGGTGAGGAATATCTCCCAAGTAAGTTCTTTTTTTGTTTCAGACTGGTGAGTACTTCACAATTTTTCACAGTAAAAAACTGGCAGTTCTGGCCAGAATAAATGATAAGAAAGTGAACTATTTTTAGGCAGAACTACCTTTTACAAAACTCAAAAAGGAAAAACCAACTCTAGAAAGATAAAAAGAAAGCTGAGCTTCCATTTCTGCCTAGATAGTTGCTTTTGATCCGGGCTGGACTGAATATGCTTGAGCTGGACTGGACTATCAACAACTTCAATTGTTAAGTTTCAGCTATAAGTCGATACCAACGTTCGAGTTTGGCAGAGCTTTAATCTATTTCAAGCCCTGGAAGGCTTTTTGAACTGGCAGAATTGGGACCTCTTCCGTCTAGAAGGGGCAGAAGTGGCTAGACTTGAGGATTACTGAGCTGGAACTGCACTGTGGTACCTATTCTGCTTAATCAGGGCTCTCCATAAATTTGTTGACATTTTCATATTTGTAAAACCCGAACTCTGCTTGATTTGGCTTATGCTGAACCAAATTTGTAATGAGAGAAATCTCGTTTTGAATGACTTATTTCTCTAAGTCTGAACCGGAGTTAGAGATTCTAAATTGTAGCTGATTTGTTTCTTGTGGCTCAATGAGCTTTTGGTTGCTTCAGTGTTTTGAAGGTTTTTGAGATCAAGTGACCATTTTGAGTTTTTTGTTTTCTGTCCTTTGCTCTGTTCACCTTCTCTCATATTTATAGGAAATGCTAGAGTGAGATTTTTAATTTTTAAAATGGGCGGCAAATTTTCTAAAAACCAAGATCTTTTTATTTTCAAATGTCCAAAAAAGGGAAGTTATCTATTCTGCCAAGTAGACCATCAACAGTCAGTTCCTAAGGCAGTCGCTTCCCTATTTTCTTGAAAGAAAACCTAATCCTTCTTTAATTCTAACTGCTCTTTATAAGAATTCAAACTGCTGTGATTGTTAGTTTTGATCTTCCAGCTGAACAACTCTCTGCTTCCTACTTATCTCTTGAAAACAGTCTGCTTATTTCTTGAAAAAGCCACCTGTTTTGGTGTAGAGCTTCTCTATATGTATATATATAATAATTCTGACCTTCTTCTTTTGGCTGAGTAAAAATAGGGAAGCCTTTTTGCAAAAACCTGCCTTCATTAATTTCCTATCAACCTCTATGTAATAGTTGAAAATTTTGACTTTTCAAAGCTAGGTAGTCACGTGGGTTTGTTTTTAAAAAGATCTTCCAATTTTGTCAACCTTCGAGGGTAGAGATTTAGATTGTATTAAAAGGCTGGGCTAGTCTCTTTTTAGTGGATAAAAAAGCCCCAAATGTTTTTGTCTTATGGCCCTTTTTCTAAAAAAGAAATGGGCTAGGTGTGTTGGAAATTAGCCCAATCTTAAAAAGACACCAGTGACTGCCCACAATTTGACATGGGATTTTTTGATTTGGGCTCTTGATTCCAATTTGAACAAAAAGCCCAAATTGCTTGAATTCTAAGTTTTGTTTTCCTGGGCCTCTAGCGCTGGACTGTGCGTGCAGATTTATGGCCCAAACAGTAGCTAATTTCTATGTTTTTGTTGTTACTCCCTTTTTTTTTTCTCCCCCCTTTTTGAGTTGGGTAGCTAATTTCTACATTTTTGCCGATTCGATTTTGACATTGGGTCTCTTTATTATTATTATTAACTTTTTTGGTAAATGGATAACTCCATTACGAAAACAGTAACAAGCAAAGGCTACAAGCAGAAACATAGAACAACGGGGAAACACAAACTTAGTCGCCCTCAGCTACAAATTAATTTGGGTTATTATCTAAATGTCCATAAATAATAAATAATATATCAGTAAGTATTCATAGAGCTAGGTACAAATTCATCCACTACCCCACATAATTAGACGCTCTGTATACGAAGTATATTTTATGCATTTTTTTAATTAATTGTATATGAAGGATTGTGGGATATGATTTTCCCCACCTTGTGAAGGCCTATTGCACTTTGAAATCCAAGAAATAACAGCAGTTGTGAGTCCTTGAACACACCGGTGTGGTGTGTGCCAAAGAGTTTCTAATGCTTAAGTTACTCGTGACAGTAGGATTAACATGATAAGATTTCTCAGTTCAAGTCAATACATGTGACGACTTATTATTAGTGTGAGATTTTTGATTCCTACAAGAATTCAGTAAATTTTCATGAGGGTTGTAAACATGTGTGTAGAAATCGATGAAGGTAACAACTATTACGTATAAGGAAAATGATTGAGTAATAGCTATATTCAGTATTATTATTTTGTATAATGATTATCTTGATTCATATGTAACGGAATACAAGTTTCAGTAGCTATCACACACACCAAAAAAATAAAGTTTTCCTTCTGTAAATTTGAAAAATATACAATCATAATCAGATCAATCATAATCAGACCAAATACGAGACGAAAGAATTTCATGTTTGTGGCCCATGCATCAAGACAAGTGGGCACCAAATTTCGACCAGGATAAAAAAGGCAAGCACCTAATTAGTGTACCAAGAATAAACTTTATTTAGTGAACCACTTTGGGAAAAGGATAAGGCCAACAACATCATCATCTACATCTGCTGTGCTTCACTTTTTTTAATTAAAATTAAACTAACTATTTTGCATGAATTAGCTGCAGCTGCTGGGAAGGGAGGAATTAATGGGGATTATAGAAATAGGGTTGTTTCTGATGATCTTTTCCCACCATTACCTTGTGGCGCCTGCATCTCCTCTTCGCAAGGCCTCGCCTTCAGGTGTTCTTCTCATCTCTCTCTTCTTGCATATTCTATTATTAATTAGTTTATTCTTGGCAATAACTTTTTCAGAAACTCCTTTTATAAACTGTAATCCCCGGTTGCTTCTTGGTTGTAAGAGCTCAAAAATCAGAACTATCTGAACATAAAAGTGAAAAGGAACACCAAAGCAAGTGATTGAAAGTTGCTGCTTTTTATTATTATTTTATTATTAATACATGCTATATTAGGGGAGAGGGGAAATCAAATCTAAGACTCCAGGTGCAGGATAAGTGTTCTTAACCAATTGAGCTATAAGCCACCTGCAAAAGTTGCTTATTAAGAACCAAATATGGTTTTCATGGATCAAACGGAAAACGAGAGGGAAATAATATTTTTAAGGAAACAAAATATAATTAGCTATGTCCTTTCTAGAATTAAATAATAAAAAACTAGGATGCTAAGAAGAATTAGCAAAAGAAGTACGAGCACTTGGATAATAATTTGGTAGAAGTTGTAGTTTGTTAGTCAATTACACCTAGTTTTAACGGTTGGGTTATTGCAGAGAACAAGAAAGGAACAAGTTCAGTTGAACAAGGGCATATTTAACATTGAAAATTCATTGAGTGAAACACAATTTGAGCATTCGATTTGAAACAGAATTGACAATCGAGTCTATTACCATTACAATCTTTTCGAACTCTTCTTCCTCTACAAGTTTTTGGACCAAAAAGAAAGTCGCTCTATTTGAGAATAATTCAACCACCCCCAATGCCAGATAAAATAAAAAGTTTAAAAACTAAAAATTTATATACAGAAGTTTTCTGATTTCCTAATGGCAAAAAGAAATCTGTGACCTTGTCAAACAAGTTTCGGTACTGGTTAACTTCTAAAAGAATACGTTGCAGAATTTATGCAGGAAACCACCACAGAAGATGAAGGTGCAAATGGACATGGAAGCAATGGTAGTGATGATGATAGTGATAATAGCAGAAGCAGAATAGCACATAGCGGCAAACTTGAACATGGATACAGTCATGGAAGTGCAAACGGCAGATCAACTAGTATTGGTGAGAATGGAAATAACGGCAGGACCAGATCTCCAAATACACAAGGTTCAACTTTCGTACCTGTATACACAGCAGGTTCAGTTAACAATCGCCACCATAACAATCACCATGGTGCTGCCAACAGCAACAAGAAATGCATTGGACTGCCCATCTTGTTCGCATCCAGCTGGGCGTCTCTTGTACATCTGTATATGGTATTCTGATACTAGACAAAGCCGAAGCATGAAAAGACAGTGTTGCTTGCTATCATTGTGCATAAACTGTAAGTTTGAGTGTGTCGGTTTTGCAGTTGGCTCCTTGTGAGACTAACATTTTCCAACAAATGTTAGGAAACCATGTATTATGAATTATTGCCTAAACAAATTCGGGTTTGTGCATCTTGTGCATCAATGATATCTAAAGCACACAAGAAGATTTGCAGTATTACATGAGTTCGCTTCTTTCATTTATGATTGTATAAGACTAAAGAACAAGACAGCAGGTTTCGAATTTTGTGTTTGTATTCTAAATTTAAAGGTCCACCTACCAGATTTCATAACTCCAAGTCGTTTATAAGTCGTACACACTTGAACTTTGTCCCTGGATTATCACATGATTCACGAAACATGTCTGCATGCATCATTATGTCTAATCATTCAGTTAGTATGTCACAAGAGAAATCAAAAGAATTCCTTAGTAACTGCACCATTGCAAGTATTATAACTCCAAAATGGACATACGATGGATTGCACAGATACGGAAGAAATTTTCCTCATCATATTACTCGCCCTCGGTCAAAAATTAAATTTTAAAAAAAAGAACACTACAATAGGCTGTTTAAGTTCTTTCATTTGCCTTTCTCAATAATGAGAACGGTGAAGCAAAACTCCAATGATTCTCTGATTTGAATCAAGAAAGGCAAATAATTGGAGAGAAGCAAAAAATACAAATCGTAACGTGTCAAACCTTCTACTTAGAATTGAGTGACTTGCTCAAGTTTACGAGCCATAAAAAATTTGCAGCGTCCTTTACCACTTGATTCAATTTCTTCAATCTTTCTCTTGGATTTTGTGACACCAAAATTACTTAATTTCAATTGCCGCTTGCCATTAGCACTGCTAGAACCATCTCCATCCATTTCATTGGATTCCCTATGAGAATAACAAAAAATATCAAAATCCAACGTTAATTGACACATAAAGGAGCCTCACCTGAAATAGGTAAAATCCAATATTTGCCTAATTGTAGTTAAAAGTTGCAATAATTAGTTTTAACATACAATTCAATAATTCTTTATTATTAGCACCGCATACCGTTTTGACCTTGGCTGTAGCAATCTCCATCACACATATTTTATAAAGCTTATACGGTTATTGATTATTGGTTGGTTTACGGTTTCTTGAAATTCGGGGACTACTGGTATTTCCACAGTACATTAAAAAAAAACTTTCGTCATTTACCAATATTTCTACCAATAAATCCAGGGACTTCCGGTATTTCCACAGTACTTTTAACCTTGGTTATTTTGGAGCTTTGCTTCATTGGAATATCCTCAATGTCAACTCATGCTTACCCCTTTCTATAAAAAGCAGAAGGAAACTCAAAACTCACTCCATACTCCATACAGATACAAAAGAAATTGGAAAAGGCGATAAATGTGCAGGTACATACAATGAACTACTAAATAGTTTGTGACAGAATTTTTTAACAAAGTCCAGAGGGACTGACCATAAGACTTCAACAATGTCTTTGAAATAGGGAGTGCATGTACCCCAGCTGAAACGGACCAATGTTGGGAATCCAAAAACCAAGTGTTTGTGATGTTGCAACCAGGCCTTAGTATTTGGATCTGTGGAAACAAAACAATAACCAGATTCCTCCAAGTACAGTAACCATATGATGTTTACAAAGTTATTGGGAAAGAAAGATAAAAGCCATAAACCTTTCACCTCCAGGATATCCAGAACCAAAGTTTTTGTGCAAGTCATCAGCTGTTTCCTCAAGCACCCAGTCCCGCAAAGCTCTGTCTCTTGTGACCTGGATGATTGAATGAAAAGTAAAATTATTGTAGCCTCCAGACTTTCAGTGTGGAGTTACACAAGGGGAAGGTAATTACTTTTGCAACTATGCTTGCCCCACTGACAACTGGATAAAGACTATCAGCCTTCTTTGCAACGACAAACTTGACAGCAGGGAATCTTTCAGACAGTTTAGTCCTGTACTTCTCAGCATCTCCCACCGTATCCACGTAAACCTGAAACATATATTATTTGTAACTATATCTATTAGGATTTTGGCTTGTCAAATATGTCCTAGTTGGTTTAGGATTGTTTTAGGAAAATTAGAGGTATACCGATTCTTGTCCTAGAGGGATTAGGAAAGAATTTCAGTTTTCCTTATTCAATTTAGGTTTGGATTTCTAGAAGTCTATTTGGATTTGGATAAGTGTAATTTCCTAATCCATTTAGGAATAGGAATTCAATCAGCCTTGGGACATGTAAGCCAACTCTATATCTATAAATAGGGTGCGGCAGGGCTTATTTTAGAGAGGAAAAACAGCCAGAGACAGCCGAGAGTTTTGAGATTAGTTCTAGGGTTGCAAAAGTTCTGTAATCTCTATTATTAATCAAAGGAGCGGTGATTTGTCTACCTAGAGAAATCACAACTGGATGTAGGCAAAAGTTCTGCCGAACCAGTATAATTCTTGTGTGTTTCTAAGTTTTCTAATATTTGCTAGTTTAGTCTATTGTTGTCGGTTACATTAAAGAACAAGATCTAGTGTGCAATTATTTAACAATATCAACCACTTTATTATTACCTTTTAAAAAAATAACCTAACAACGCTAATTTTGATTTCTCAAATCACTGCTTTGTCAAGCCTCATAATTTCCAAGAAACTATTTAATTGAGATGAACCTTTTCCATATATCCTTTAGAGGCTTGCACAAAACAGGGACTTAAAGAAAAAGAAGAAAAAGAAAGCGGAGAATAAGGTTTCCACAAGATTGTGAGAGAACAATAAAAACTGCATAGTTCAGTTAGGATCGAAACTTAGAAACAAGGTTGCACCAGGAAAACATATCTAAAATATTCTTTTATTATAGACGAAATATTTTTTAAGGTTTTCAAAACAGAAAATGCAATACCATTAAAGAGCTTTCACCTAGTTCATTGCCTCCTGTTAACTTTGTCCTACTTCTTGTTTTTTTATTATTTAATATTCTTTGTCCATATTGCCTTTTCCATTGACAGATCCTACGACAGTGTCTACGTGTTTCTCTTTCAGATGGCTTCTTTTACCATAATGGCACCCTGTTACCAGATAACCCAAGCACTTACTACAGCAAACTATTTATCTCAAAATAGCTTTGTGTTCAGAATTAAGAATATGCACTCTTTTTTCATCAATAATGTGTGGAAAATTCAATTTAAAAGTATTTGAGATCTGAAACATGCGTATATGTAAATAAAAGACCTTTAGATGACCATTAATCTTTTTAAGCTAGAAACAGTTTACCTCAGTTAGAAGAACTCCCATGTTTAGGACTTTAGTGATAAGGCCAATGGCAGAGTCATGTGAGATTTCATTCAGGTTTATCTTATTTCTGTTTTGAAAACAAACAAAAGAAATCAGATAAGAAAGCGGTAGCATGTGATTGACTTGAGAAAAAGTATTCATATATTTTCACTGACTTCTTCAGCATTTTGGCCGAAAGTTCCCTTGGATCTATGATATCAACAGCCCACCCAATGGATTTGTCAACCTTCAAATTCTCAAATAATTCCTCCCTCTTCTCTTCTTTCAGTGTCTTCGAATCTACGGGAAACAAAACAGGATCAAGAACACAGGGAGGGGTGTGATTTATGATGCCATATTGAACCAAAAAAGGAGCTCAGAATTTCCAGATAAAAAGAGATTCACTTTAAAAGGCAAACGTAGAGTCATGGGAGACACTAAGTAGAACTTTGCAGATGAAAGGGTCATTTCCCCCAATCAATTGGTTCTAAGGAAGGCATCCCAAACATCATAAAACTAGAGTATGGTGTGATAACACAAGTGTGAATCAGATCTTTCATGTGAACTTGGCCCAGCAAGCTAAAGCTTAAAACTAATTTCCGTACAATTGAAGACAATATTGTGAGTTCAAAAACAATGAAGACTCAGGTGATGTGTACATGTGATGTTCAAGTATTTTTGTGCATATAAAAATAACAAAAATCTGTGGTCATCCATTTTCTTTAGTAATCCAACCGATATTTGATGCATCATAAGTATTAAAAAGCCATGACTCATTTCCACATCTACAAGTTTGACATGGTGTGCTCAATTGATCTGTATTTCACATAATGATATGTTTAGGTGACTAGTTGACCAGAAGGCGAATATTGACAGTTGCACTTCCATTTGAAGAGCAAATCTCCAAAATCAAAGAACAACATTGATGTTTTCTTTGGAGTTAAACTAATCATTATAATATCCAATCCACACTTGTACCCCTTTTTATATTTTATTTTCGAGTTTATGACTCAACAGCTGATACAATACGATTACATTGACTCCTTTGTTTTGTGCTTGATTTTATTAGCATAACAGTTAACATCATGAAATCACAATGAACATCCATCTCTTTACTTCCAACAAAAATCATAGAAAGTGCAAGTTCCTCAACTTTCAAAGACAATAAATCTTAAAAAATGAAGCTAAACCTGCAAAATTCAAAGAGGAGAGAGTCTTCTCATACGAGCGAGCACAGTACAAGCATCCGTACACCATTGGACCTGTTCTCATTGGACATACAGAAGTTTTGTGAATATGTATAAATGGAAAAACAAAAAAACATGGAAAACGAGAAGAAAGCAGACCTAAAACAGGGCCACGGCCAGCTTCATCGATGCCCATGATGCAAGGCTCTGAGGTCCATTGGGGGATTGCGGCGCCCGATCCCATTCCACAACCACGCTAACTCTTTCCTTCTCTTTCTTGGGCCTTTGCGTTTCCCGTTAAATGTGACCGAGGGTTTTTATTTTTCTCGAGAAAATGAGGTCAAATTTCAAGCGGAGTTCATGAGGTTTGTGAACTAACCAGAGCTGTTGGTCAGCAGAAGACTGAGTGATAGTGAGCGACAGAAAGTGCAAGGCCCTTCAAATTTTTTCCTTTTTTTTTTTCCTTTTTTTTTTTTTTTTTGGGTGTGGCTTTTATCACAAAACATTAAATAGGTTTTTATGTTTTTTTTAGTTCCTCAAGGTTAACTTTCTGGTTCAAGGTTTTTATGATTTTTTTTTTTTTGCGACATAATGCACTGAGGGATTTAGTTTCGGACCAAAAGACTTTCCGGTTCAAGTGGGGGGTGCCGGGGAATGGGAAATCGAATTAACTACTCTTAGTTGATTTGATTTTAAGTAATGCTACACTTATCACATTTTTAACCTACATTTCTATATATCATATGCTACATTAATAAAAAATCAATTAAGTGTATTTTAATAAAGAAAGTTTAATTAACATTTTTTTTAAAGTGTTAATCAATCATAAAAGAAAAGAAAATATTAAATACTTTTAATTGATGTGGCTGTCCACCTGATTTGCCACATAAGATTGTATGGGAATATGATATACAAATGTGGTAAGAGTAACATTATTCTTTGATTTTTATTTCTCTTGTCTATTATTGGTAAGTAACATTTGGCCACGAGCCTTGCCTAGTTCTTCTGTACTGAGCCATCAAGATTTAACTTGGTTTTGAACACCTACTTAACTCCAATTATAAGTTTATCAGTTAGTCTGTCCACCAGCTCCCATGTTGCATTTTTCTTAATCATTGACAGTTCATCTTCCATAGCCTTCATCCATGATTCATCTTTAGAAGCTTCATCAAATTTTTCAGGTTCCATAATGCAAAGATTGCATTGTGCTAGAACATCATTCAGATTTCTCCATTTTAGTGGAGTGTGATCAAAGGCTTGAGTATTTCTCATGCTGCTACTTATGTCACTTGATGGTTCATAAGGAGGTGACAACCTTGGTGATTGAATGTGATCATGGCTTCCAAAAGGTGTCATTAGTGATGTAGTTTCAGATATATAGGATTGCTCTTCATGATATGTCATAGCTACCTGTTTCTCAGACATTTCCTTCCAATCTCAAGCTACATTTTCATCAAACACAACATCCCTTGAGAGTAGCAGCTTCTTAGTGATAAAATCATACACTCTGTAACCTTTTCCACAAGTTGCATAACCCATAAATATACCCCTGGTACTCTTTGCATCTAACTTCTGTCTCACTTCACTTGGTATATGTGCATAACACAAACAACCAAATATTTTAAAATAAGCAATCCCTGGTTTTCTCTTACTGTATACTTCAAATGGAGTTTTATCTCCAAGTGCTCTAGTAGGACACCTATTTAGTATGTAGACAACTGTGTGTACAACTTCTGCCCACATATAGTAAGGTAATACTTTCTCATGAAGCATGGCTTTTGCCATTTCAACCACAATTCTATTCTTCATTTCCACTACTCCATTTTGTTGTGGAGTGTAGGCCATAGAGAGTTGTCTTTGAATGAGTGTTAATCAATCATAAAAGAAAAGAAAATATTAAATACTTTTAATTGATGTGGCTGTCCACCTGATTTGCCACATAAGATTGTATGGGAATATGATATACAAATGTGGTAAGAGTAACATTATTCTTTGATTTTTATTTCTCTTGTCTATTATTGGTAAGTAACATTTGGCCACGAGCCTTGCCTAGTTCTTCTGTACTGAGCCATCAAGATTTAACTTGGTTTTGAACACCTACTTAACTCCAATTATAAGTTTATCAGTTAGTCTGTCCACCAGCTCCCATGTTGCATTTTTCTTAATCATTGACAGTTCATCTTCCATAGCCTTCATCCATGATTCATCTTTAGAAGCTTCATCAAATTTTTCAGGTTCCATAATGCAAAGATTGCATTGTGCTAGAACATCATTCAGATTTCTCCATTTTAGTGGAGTGTGATCAAAGGCTTGAGTATTTCTCATGCTGCTACTTATGTCACTTGATGGTTCATAAGGAGGTGACAACCTTGGTGATTGAATGTGATCATGGCTCCCAAGAGGTGTCATTGGTGATGTCATTTAAGATATATCGGATTGCTCTTCATGATTGGTCACAAATACCTGTTTCTCAGACATTTCCTTCCAATCCCAAGCTGCATTTTCATCAAACACAACATCCCTTGAGAGTAGAAGCTTCTTATTGATAGGATCATACACTCTGTAACCTTTTTCACAAGTTGCATAACCCACAAATATACCCTTGGTACTCTTTGCATCTAACTTCTGTCTCACTTCACTTGATATGTGCACATAACACAAACAACTGAATATTTTAAGATGAGCAATTCTCCTACTGTATGCTTTAAATGGAGTTTTATCTCCAAGTGCTCTAGTAGGACACCTATTTAGTATGTAGACAACTGTGTGTACAACTTCTGCCCACATATAGTAAGGTAATACTTTCTCATGAAGCATGGCTTTTGCCATTTCAACCACAATTCTATTCTTCATTTCCACTACTCCATTTTGTTGTGGAGTGTAGGCCATAGAGAGTTGCCTTTGAATGTCTTCATCTTCACACAATTTGTTGAATTCACAGGATGTGAATTCACCTCCTCTGTCACTTCTCAAACACTTCACTCTAAAACCACTTTGCAAGTCTACCATGGACTTGAACTTTCGAAAACAGTTCAGAGCATCAGACTTATATATGAGAAAATAGACCCAGACCATCCTTGTATAGTCATCTATAAGAAGCATGAAATACTTGTTACCAGCAATAGATTCATTTTGCATAGGTCCACACAAATCCACATGAATTAGCTCAAGAGGATTGCTTGCTCTCCATGCTTGGTTCTTTGGAAACCACTCTCTATGCTGCTTTCCAAGTTGACACCCTTCACATACTTCATCAACCTCTTCTAAGTGTGGAAGTCCATGAACCATTTCCTTTTCTTTGAGTTGGTGCAGCCCCCTTAGATGTAGATCACCTAGCCTTTTGTGCCAAGTCCAAGTAGAGTGAGATACACTTGTTTTCAGTGCAACATGATCATTAGGTAACAATGCCAAAGGATAGCATCTATTCATTTTCATTTCCACTTTGATGACAAGATTCTCTAGTGAAGCACTATCAAAAATGCTGCACATTTTGCCTCCAAATAGCAGATAATGACCATGCTCATCCATCTATCCAACACTCAGTAGATTCTCCTTCAATCCAGGTAGATACATTACTTCTTTGATGTACTTCCTACCTGTGCTTGTGTCAATCACCAGATTGCCTATTCCAGCTACATTTACAAGCTCTCCAGTTGGCATTTGTACATTGCCTATTACATTTGTTCTTATGTCAACTAGCAGCTTCCTATCCCCAGTCATATGATTGCTACAACCACTCCTGTTTCAGAGATGGTACTATTTGCATGGAACAAATTTCCTGATACTTCCACTTGATTTGCATAGTTAGCTTTCTGCACATTTTTATTTGCAGTACATTCTCTAGTCCAATGTCCAAATCTGTCACAATTGTAACACTAAGGCTTTCCTTTTATACCTGTATTCACCACAATGAAACTTTGAACACACTTTGCACTGTGGTTTTGAACCTTCTTGACCCACTAATTGTGATGAATTTTGTGCAGAGCTAGTTTGTTGAGCCTTGGATTTTGATTCCCATGGCTTGTCCTTAGCGTTCCAATTCTTATGGAGTTTAGATGAACTAGATTGATTGCTTCCCTTGTTCTGATTTTTTGAACTAACTGAGAATGAGGCAAATGCCTTCTCAGCTGTATCAACATTATGCATCTCAAAACGTTGCTCTTGGCTCTTCAGGATTATAATAACTTCCTGCAATTCTACAGTCTCTAGACTCTTTGTGTTCTCAATCACCAGACAAATAGGATCATAAACTTTACTAAGACTGATCAGAACTTTTTGAACAAGCCTTTCATTAGAGAGAGTGTCTCCAAATGTTCTCTCCAAATGTTCTTATCTGGTTAATCAGCTCATTCAATCGAGTAAGATACACAGATAGAGGTTCATTATCACGCATTCTAGTGTATTCAAATTCACGTATGAGGTTTTTAAGTTCTACCGATCTGACATGGTCACCACTGTGATATTCTCCATACAATAGCTCTCATGCCATCTTAGCTGAATCTGCATTGGCAATATGAGGAAAGATCTTATTGGAAACTGCATTTTGAATAATCCCCAGAGCTTTTGCATTTTTCATAAGGATCACAGCCATCTTCTCATCATCTTCTTCTATTGATATTTCTTTAGCTGTCTTCTTCTTCTTCGAATTTGGAATCGTGATTCTTTTCTCTACCAAAGTCCACAACCCATATAACTTGAATATAGTTACCATCTTGATTCTCCAGAACTCGTAGTTCTCACTGGAGAAGATCAGAGTTCTTACATCTGAACTTCCAGATCCATACATTTCTGATCTTAGGTAACCAAAAACCAACTTGTTTCAAATTTCAATTGAGCTCTAACGATCGTCATTAACTTGAGTGAGCACATATGTAGGTCGATTTCATAGTTTTGAAAACCCCCAGATTCAATCTACCCAACCTGGCTCTGAGGCCATGTTAGTGTTTAGGATTCTAGCTAGGTTATGGGATTCACAAGCAGAGAGAAAAATGGAAGAATGGAGAAGAAAATGCAGAGTGATGATTATGCTTTCTTACTCACCAAGAAAGTGAGGTAAGGAATGTATATTCTATATTTGTGTAAAATGAGCACACACAACGTGCACTGTATGACCATTAGCCTTAGTTGGATACACACAAGCAACATTGCATCTCAGCCATCCATCTAGCTATATTCTAGGATCACTACATGTGGCTTATTTCAGCCTTACCTCTTAGAGCCTTACCTTTGCTCATCCCTTGTTCTTCCACTTCAGCCCCACTATTACACCATTCTTTCCACCACAATTATAATAGCTCCATGAGAATTAAGTCCTTTTCAAATTCTGCTAATATGCAAAATTGGAATTTGCTGGTGATAGCATCTTTGTTCGACCAAAAAGAAAAAGAAAAAAAAAGTTGATTGCATATTGTATCATTTTGGCCAG